TTACCCTCTTCGTCTTTCTTGGTGTGGATGTGACATGGTAAATCCATCACATCATTTCCTTCCTTATCTTTTACTTTCTTGGGGTTCCAAGGCCCCTTGGGTTTCCCTTTAAATTTTCCTTGATTCAGGGCCAAGGCTTCTCCAGGAGCGGCTGGCTCGGCTTTATGCTTTTGCTTCCGACTGGAATTTCCGCCTCTGGTGTCCTGGGCGACTGACTTGTGCTTGTCGCTCCGGAGCCGATCCTCTTCCTCACCATTGGCATATTTGGTGGCTATTTCCATCATTCGACTCAGAGACATGTCTCTGGTTCGACCGAATTTCAGGCTTAGCTCTCGGTACTTTACGCCCTCCTTGAAGGCGCAAACTGCCTGGTGATCAGATACATTCTCTATTGTGTGATGCAGTGTGATCCATCTCTGGATGTAATCCCTCAGAGTCTCATTCGACTTCTGTACACAAGATTGCAGCTCTGTCAGTCCCGCCGGTCACTTGCACATTCCTTCGAACGTCCTGACAAACACTCGGGAGAGGTCCTCCCACGTGTAGATGCTGCCGGGTGTCAATTGATTCAGCCATGCCCTGGCTAACCCTTCCAACATAAGAGGCAGATGCTTCATGGCCACCTCGTCATTTCCGCCGCCGATCTGAACAACCACTCGGTAGTCCTCAAGCCAAGTATCAGGCTTGGACTCACCGTTGAACTTGCTGACTCCAGTCGCCAACCTGAAGTTGGGAGGAATCACCGCGGCTCTGATGGCTCTGCTGAAACACTCTGGTCCGGAGACGTGCACTCGGCTGCTGGTGGGTACATCTCTGTCATTACCCTCTCTGTGGGCCCTGTTCCGGTCGACCAGACCTTGAATGATGATGGATCTCGCATCAAAGCCTGGTTCCCTGGGGTCGACTGGAATTCTTCGCCCGCCACTGTGCTGGCGTCTGTCATCCTGCTGTCGAGGCATATATGATCCACCCCTCGGGGAAGGAGTGGGCACTCAACGTCGATCGTTGCGATCGAATCGGTGATCATACTGCTCATAGTTCCTGTACTGATCGTGTCGGTCGCCATGCCCTTCACACCTCGGGGGTGATCTGGGGCTATGAGTCGACTGGACCGTATTCGCCGCCACGGATCTGCTATGAATCATGTTCCACGACTGCGACACAGCCGAATTCTGATCTCCTGCTGCCCGGAGCAAATCCTTGATCTGCATCAAGCCTCTGCCAGCCTCTGACTGAAGGCTGAATCGACTCTGCTATACGGGTTGCAGCTGCCAAATTCTGGATCGGAGTGCGGTATACGTGAGTCGTAGGTTTAAAGAGTTGGCGTCGACTGGAGTCTGGAATCCGTTGCCGCGCGCGCTCGTCGAGTGCCCGCTGAAGGTTCTCCAATCGAGTGCGCTCAGCCAGGTTGGCCAAGCGCGCGTCCTCTAAGGCGCGAGCCTCAGGGGTTTCTCCAACGATCGGAGCATGAAGCGCATCCATGTTCCAGCGGCGAAGCTCTTCCCTCTGCTGCGAGTCGAGGGGCTCAGGGCGGTACTCCTCATGGTCGTGCGACGGATCGCCTCCGCCGTTGCCTCCCTCGGTGCCAGGAAAGCCGGGGGGAACGTGCGGCCCATTGACCATCAGGACCTCCGCCGCCGGATCACTGCTGTCGCACTCGGATGCAGTCTCTGCGGAGCCAGTCGACAGGTCGAACAGGCCGTAGAGAGATTCGTCGGGCTTGATTGCCGCGACTTGGATAGTGGTCGACTGGCGAGCCACTGCGTGCCTCACCCACCGCTGAAGCCTCGACTGACCGGAGCGCTTACGCCGGGGGAAGCTGGGAGGGAGGATGACACGAAAACCGGCTGATACTGAGTCGACGGTTGCCGCAGAAGCACGCCGCGGACGCATGCTCGAAAGTGCGTAGCTCCGCGGACTGGGAGGGCATCCACGTCGAGCGGAGCCTCCTGCAGCCAGGCAGAGTCATCGGCGACGAATGTGAGCGCGCCGAGACGGATCTCGCGGCCCTCAACCAAAACTCCACCTGAAACCATGATGATGGGAATTGGAAAGATTGCAACTTCTCCAATAAGTCGCTAAGACACTTGCCCATGGTGGGCGCCAACTGTCGTGGTTCTAAGTCTGACAGTAGAATAGGGGGTAGGTATGGAGAGGCAAGATCCTAGCTATGGAGCAGTTGTGCACACAAATGTTTTGCGAGTTCAGACCCTTCTCGAAGGAAGTAACAGCCCTACGTCTCGGAGCCCGGAGGCGGTCGACTGGATTATGTGTGTGAGAGTTACAAGGGTGCGAACCCTTCTACCAGTGGAGGGGGTGGCTTATATAGAGAACGCCAGGACCCTGGCCAGCCCACGTAGCGGAAGGTTAAAGTACATTAAGGTCTGGCATTACTGGTAACGCCTTACATAAAGTGTCATCATGACCATAAAGACTACTTAATTACAGACCGTTTGGATTCAGAGTAGATCTTGAACTCCTGTTGGTCGAGTGAGTCTTCTTGGTCGAGTGTCTTCAGGTTCATCGAGTGTCTTCTAGTCCGTCGAGTGGAGTTCCTCTTGGTCGACTGGAAGACGGCTTCTTCTAAAAGATGTTCTTGGGGAGGGTACCTTGGACAGGTCATGACCCTACCCTAGGTACATGACTTCATCAGTGACGAGCGCGCGGGATCCATCTCGGCGTCTCTCGCAGCTTGGTGAGGCGGGGTGGGAGCCCTCCTCCTAGGCTCCAGTGGTGGCACACTCAGCCTATGGCCGGTGTGCAAGGGCTCCTAGGGTGGCACTGTTGTTGCGGTTGGTCGCCGGATCTAGGCGGTTGGATTTGGGGCTTTGAAGGCGGTCGAGACGGCGCACGTGTTGTCGGGTGGATTTCTTGGGACAGATCCGGGTGAAACCTGGTTTTCGGTCGATGGCAGGAGTCGGTGATGACGATGACCTTATCATCATTTTCTTCCTGAAGGCATCATCGAGGTGAAGCTCCCAACTCCACTCAATACCTCCAGGGGAAACCCTAGATCAGGTGATCGGATGTTGGCGGCAAGCATGTGTCGTTACCCCGTTGGGGGCGGCATTCTTGGAGGTGCACTCGGCTTCACGGGACCAGCGGGCGGCATCTTTGATGGAGCGGTGCTTCATCCTACACATTGATGGCGACGGATCTCGTCGGCGTGGCGCAGTGCAGATTTGGAGTTCGATGTGCAAGGTTGGACTTGCGCAGGAGGACGACGTTGTTTAGCGTCGTGGTGGTGTCGATGGCGGAGAGACCTGGCACAATAGATGCAACAATACAACTCTGAAGATGGATTTGTGGCAGGTGGCTGCGGCGGCCTCATACCCGGCAGGCGTCCTGGTTGAGGAGTGCGCCAGACTGGTAGGTGCCCTATACCTGGCAGGCGTCCTGATTGGGACCTCAGGTCTTATATGTTTAGGTTTGGCTGCGATGTCTGTTTGGTATTAGGCCCAGGATATCAGCGGCCCTTCATCAACTGGATAAGAGTAGCGACAGTTGTTGCTTAGACGATGGCTTTAGTCTTACTATTGTATGACTTTGTAAGGTCTTATGAAAATAATTAATAAAGTGGCCGCGTGCATCGACCAGATGCAGAGACCAGGGGACCTCCTCCTTTTCTAAAAAAAAGAGAAGTCTAGCCTTGTATCTTGCTGCGGATTTCCATCTAGGTAACACGCGGGAGTTGAGCGACTTCTGATGCGATTTTGTAGAAAACCGTTTCCTACAGGCGCTCTCATTTCTTTCACATAAAATTTCCTCACATGCCAACTCCTTGGCAAGCCTTGTTCATTTGAATCAATCAATTTTATGTTCCTTTCCTTCACATACTTTTACCCTCAAAAGGCTTGTGCTTCTTTTTGAATCCAATTCTATCTTCTTCTAATCTTCATCATTCACAGAAGGCCGAAAGAAGAAAACTAGATGCTCGCAGCCAGGGCAAAGAAGAGTGAGTGACACGAGATTCTGTTACAAAGATCTTTCCTACTCTTTCTAAGAATGAAAGCTATCAACGCCACCTGATCTTTCCAGAAAAAAACAGTGCATGAGCTTTCTAACATGTAACATCTATTCTTACAGATACGCAAGCGTTTAGCATATTCTCAGAAAAAAAGCCATCCATGTTAGAATAAATCCAAGGTATACCGTTGATTATTTAAGGACCAAGCAATCGCACGAGCACGACACCGAGATTTGTTAACGATGTTCACTGATATGGCTACATCTCGGGGCCTGACTATGGGCGCTCCTTTCCATGACACCACTACAATACCGCACCCGGTTGCCCTGGACGCTGGCACAAGCCGTCGGCATCTCCTGCGTTCATGTGCTATTATGTTGGATCATGTGTCTACCCTGCTATATATGAGGCCTAGGATACAAGTGTCCTACTAGGACACGACTCCACATCCTATGTAAACACAATACAACTCAGAGTCCATCTGTAACCTACCTTGTACGTAATATTCGACACAACTCTGACAAACTCCACCTTGGCGAATATTCCTTACCACATTGAATTCGCTCATGCGTCAAACTTCCATTTACATTGGACTTGAGTTTATCCCATGAGTACCACAGCTACTCCAAAGACTCCATATGACTCCACCTGCAACTTGTAGTCCCTTCTTTTCTTAATCTCGGTCAACACTCGAGCAAAATTAAGTTCCTTGTTACTCAGTTTGTACTCTCAACTTTCAAAGTATCCGTCCAACGCCATCACACACTAATCACCGACCTGCGTGAAAGTAAACGACTCACATATTGGGTGTCACACATAAGATTTAGCCGAACTCAACATCACCGCTCCTTTTTTGACCGTCTGTCTGAAACTTGAAGAAATTTCACCGTTGCTTATAATCATCCCGAGTCAAATTTGCAGTTGTCTCACCACATGTATGGCCACCAGAGCCCTGACTCGTCTCACCACATGTATTACCGCGTCGAGCCTCCGCTGTCCCGGTCGAGTCTCAAGGATCGCGAACCCACACCAATCAACCCTCACTGCAGAGTACCACCAATCATCACCGATCGATGACGAGTTTCACGCTTTCATCAGACCACTGGGCTCCAGTCCAAACTGCATGTCACTCGCTTTCCCCCCTTGCTAAATCGGCTTTGGTTCCCTGGATCCTTACACTGTAGTCCCTCAATCCAGCTCCACCTTTAACATGACTCCATGATAGATTATCAGTCCATCATCGCGCCCCGTCAACGTCAAGCTCACATGTGCACCGTCTTAAATCAACCCCGCGCCATAGTCTTGTCGAAGCCACACAAGCCCTCAAGCCTGCGCCACATGTTTCCACGCCCAGAAGCTGGTCACCATCAGCATCACGATCCTATGTCGTCGTCGTTGATCCTACCATCGTCTTCTGTATGAACCGACTTGTGTCGATCCGTCAGACTGACAAGTCCAACCCAACCGAACATATCCCGCTGCACGACACACTCCAGACTCCTCAAGCCGTCATTGTGACCATCACCATCCATACACAAATGTGCATACCAACAAAGAAAACCAAAGCAAAGTCCAAATAGCCTTCCCGTGTGAACATACCAAATCAGATTAACAAAGCTAACTAGCTAAAACTCCTGATTCATCACACGTCTGTAGCTGGCCTTTCTTTTTCTTTTCTTTCTCCATGACAACGTCATGATTTGACTAAGCCCTTGTGTCGTATTTTTCTTCAAACAAATCACGTGTCCTTTCAGGTTTTGCATGCTCTAGCAATAAGCATCAGTAGCTGCATGAGCCTCCGCAACGCGTCAAACTGTGTCCTACCCGCTGCCCGCACAAGCCTCCTGCGCGATTGGTGTTGCCCTGCCACTTCACGCGCACCTCGCTCCAAGCGCGTGGCTACCATACAGCTGCTTCTGCCACCCGTGCGCACCTCTGACTGCACCGACTTGTGTCCATGTTCCTTCGATCAATTGATCTTGCCGAGACCGAGTCAATCTGAAACACCACGACACACACCTGCTCGATCCGATCTCGTTGGGTATTTTCGCCCCAAAACACGCCGCTTGTACATGCCCGCCCGATCGATCCACTGAATGATCACCGCACGTCTTGACTGCTTGCATGACCGTCTGATTTCCGCTACTCGCCGTGATTGCTCATCGCCTTGACGTCTTTCCATCGATCTCAACTGTGTTCACCGCGATACCGATCAAAACATCAAACCTGCCTCTGAATTGACAATCCATGATCTCCGAACAACCTAGCTTTGATACCACTTGTTAAAATAAATCTGAGGCATACCGTTAATCATCCGAGGACCAAGCAATCACACGAACACGACACCGAGATTTGTTAACGAGGTTCACCGATATGGCTATATCCCCAGGGCCTAACTACGGACGCTCCTCCCCATGACACTACTACTATACCGCACCCGATCGCCCTGGATGCCGGCACAAGCCGCCGATTTCCCCTGCGTTCCTGTGCTATTATGTTGGCATATGTTACATCGTGTGTCTATCCCCGCTATATACGAGAGGCCTAAGATACAAGTGTCCTACTAGAACACGACTTCACATCCTATATAAACACAATACAACTAAGAGTCCGACTGTAACCTACCTTGTGCACAATATTCGACACAACTTTAACAATCCAGATGTGAGTGAGAATGCATGGCATTTTGGCACCTTATCTTTCTCTCTGCAGATACAAAAAAGAGAGATAGATAAGGTGCACGAAAATGCCAAGAGGAAGCATATGCAAAGCAGCCACATGCCACAAGGATCTCAACATAACCAGATGCGAAGTAGCCACTAGACACAAGGATCTCAACCTAACCAAATGCAAAGCTGCTAAAACCAAGCGCCACCAACGTCTGAATCAACTTATTGTATAACAAACCAAATGTCTGTCACTCATGAGTCATTTGTACAAGAAGTTGCGCGCAGAATTAGCAGCAAAAGGAGAAGTGTTCAAAAACACACATTACAGAAGATATGCTTTTCCTTATTATTCATTTACTTTTGACCCGGGCAAGTTGAATGAATCCTGGGAGCGCCCCGCTCAGCCCGATTTCTTACATCTGATCTCGATGCCCTGCACAATGAGGCCACTCTTCCACTTCCCACTTTTGGTCTCCATAAGGCTGATGGATACCTCGCCGTCGTCGCCCCCCTCGCTCAAGAACTCGCCCAGCTCCAGCTCCATCCACCCGTCGGCTCTTCTCTGAGGGAGCGTGACATTCTCTTCGTGAACTATGCGCCGGTTCGTCAGCGACCGGTAGTACTCGTCGACGTCCTCCTCCTCCTCCTCGTCGGACTCATCGTCATCGCCCTCGTCGTAATGCGTTTTCTCGTCCGCCTCGCCAGCTTGTAGGCAAACCTCGCGGGTCAAGTTGGTTGCTCCGGAACTGACCGATGCCTCCTGAGCAGGAAAATTCAGCCCGTAGTAATAATCGGCCATCTTGAAGACCATGTAGGCGGCATAGGTTGTGTCTTGGGAGAGCATCTTGCTATGTATCTTCCCGTGGATCTCAAACCAGCAAACGTCCTCGAGTTCAGCACCTTCGGAGAACCTGTCGCAAAGATATGGTTACAACTTGTCAAGAAGACGATGACCAATCAACAACACTGAAGATCAACAAAAACCGATTTCAAGTATTATTCCAAAATTTGCTAGTCAGGAGCCATGTCGAAATCCCCATTCTGGGCTTTTATCCACAGGGTAATTTAGTCTACCATCCTACAACTTACACTGCTGTGGATTGCACCAATTAACCCCGAAATGAATTACCGAAAAAGGCTTTCGCCCCGCTTTATAAATAAAGCAAACCACCATAGCCAATTCACCCCGAAATGAATTGAAATCGAGTTAGATCACAATGCAACGGCAAAATCAAATAAAATGCAATTGCAGCCAGGTATGGATAAGATAACAGCATAGAAACGGTCAAATAAGAACAAGATAATATCACAGAAACATTCACAGCACAGAATACTCAAAGAACTCTAGTGTGAACAAGGAGTCACACCCTTTACACAAAGTGTGGTCTATGTGCTGCGTATAGTTCATATTTAAACAAATTTGAAAAGGCCCTTAGCTTTTGAAAGTAAGGAATATAAAACTAGCACCAATTACGCTTATGTGTGAAGTAACCGGGACTTTGGAATGTAGAGCATTAGTCCGGTATCCAAATGAAACTGACATCAACTTGGTCCCTTTCAAACAGTTTCAAGATCACACCAAAAACTGATTTCAAGCATTGTGCTCGTTTTAAAACTTGCTACCCAAGAAATATGCCGAAACCCCCTTCCTGGGTTTTGGTTCACACTTCACAGGACCATCCTACCAGTTACACTGCTGCAGGTTGCGCGAATTAACACGGTCAGATGAGTGAATTGCAGAAAACATCGACATTGAAGCACAGTCTTGCAGAAATCACAAGTCTACAGTTTTGTGCCCAAAAACACTAATTCCCAGACTAATTTTTTGCAGAAATCACAAGTTGCTCGCTTAGGTCGTTTTAAGCACGATTATGACAGGTTGGTCCCTCTAAACAGGGTGACATGACAAAAGAAACAGTCAATTACATCCAGACACGATTTTATTTGGCAAAAGGACCCCTAAAAATAAGCAATCGGGTCCTCTGACCTTCGTCTTCCATCGGGCTACTCCCTCCCCGAGCGTGACCGGCGAAGCTGTTGCTTGCTCCAGCGGCGGGTCGGCTGGCGACGGCGGCGTGGCCTCCACTCCCTTCCAGTGCGTGGCCGGTGGTGTCTGTTAGGACGGCGGGCACGGAGGCGGGGCACCTGCAGCTGCTCGCGCCGCCTGCGGTGGATGAACGACCTCGCCAGCCGGATCCGGAGGGGAAGGAGGGGTGGAGGTCACGGCGGCGGGCTGGCTAGCGACGACGGCGGCCCGATGCGGCCGAATCCGGAGGGGAGGGAGGGAGGGGTGGAGGCCACGGCGGCGGGCTGGCTGGCGAAGGCGGACGGATCCGGAGGGGAGGGAGGAGCGGCAGCCGGGGGAAGGTGGGGCGACACTGTGAAGGAGGGGTGGCTTCCGACGGTGGTGGCAATGGCTTGGCTTACGGCAGCGTGGTCTGCCATGGCGGCTGGGCAGTGAAAACGCACGGGGTGGATGTTTTTTTTTTAAAATGGCCTTATCCTTTGAGGGCTTTTTACACTTTAGTCTATGCTATTCTACCTATTTGTAACATGTTATGTCATGCCACATCACCCTGTTTAGTGGGACCCATCTGTTATAATTGTGCTCAAAACGGCCTAAGCGAGTGACTAGTGTTTTTTTTAGAAAATTAGCCTTGGAATTAGTGGTTTTTGGCACAAAACTGTAGAAGTGTGGTTTCTGCAACCCTACCTTTCAATGTTCATGTTTTCTGCAATTCACTCCGGTCAAATCGATTGCAATCGAAATGGTGCCACCACGAAGCAACAACACAATCACATCAAATGCAATTGCAATTACTCCTAGTTAAGAAAGGCATCACCAGGCAGCAACATTCAGACACACAAGGTATATAAAAGTGGAAGAGCGAACGAAACCTGGAGTCCTCGAGTGGGATCCAGGCCCAGTGCGTATCCACCCACACGATGGACAGCTTCCTGGCGGACAGCATGTAGCACTTGGCGCCGGTCTCCCTGTCCAGCCACACGCTCTGCGGGCGCGCACGACGACCGAACAATTGGTTAGCCATGAACGAAGGACGAATCTGTTAGAGGAGTTGGGGGATCGGCGCGCAGGCACGTACCACGAGCCTGTCGTGGAGGAGGGCAGGGCCGGCGGAGAGGCGGAGGAAGAGCTCCTTCTTGGACGAGGGCGGGGCGGGGGCCGGCGGCTCCCCGTCGGCGAGAGGCGGGAGGCCGACAGGGGGCAGGAAGCCCGCCCAGACGGCGTCGTAGCCCGCCGCGGCGCGGAAGGCCGGGGAGACGGCGGCTGCACGGCAGGCGTCGCGCGGGGTCGTGCGGGCCAGCACCGCCGAGAGGAGCTCCTCCGGCAGGCGCGCGATCTCGCAGGCGCCCTCCATTGGCTCCTCCGCCCGCCGGCCGGCCGGTCTCTTCTGGTCCGGCATTCGTCGTCGGAGGAGGAGAGTGCGAGGTAGTAGTTGCGATTGGTTCGCCACGGATTTGATTCTTTTGCGTGTTCGGGTGTGGGTGCGCAGAATGCGGCTGGAGGTTTAGCGACGGAGCACGACGGAGCGGCGGGTTGAATGTGGATTAATATTTTGGGGCGAAGCAACAGACGGCAGGTGGGGGACGGCAGTTCGAGGAAGGCCTCGTGGGAGGCACTACGTGCTGTGGCCTCGTGGGAGGCACTACGTGCTGAAGACTCTCTTCGCATACGTGTGGTTTGTCTTAAGTCAACGCAACGTACCCGAGACGACGAGAGAATATCACATGAAAATCAAGTTTTTTAAAACGAAATATATAAGATTGGTACTTCTACTTCGATCGCTCGCCTTTACTTTAGGATTTAGATAGCCCCTTGGTCTGTAAAATAATCTTTTCTTACCATGCTAATAGCGCCTGAACCAAATGTATTTATTCTGATTAGGATCCTATTATATGGTTACGACTATAATAATAATGATTTACTTTGCAAGGACGTAAGTGTGTCAGACTGCTAAATTATTTTATTATTCCTACAATATAAACTAGGGGATATAGGGGGTAACACTGTCCCTATAAATTCCTTTTTTCCTTTTCCTTTTTGTCCAGAATTGAACAAAAAATAAATTATGGAAGATGTTTTCTTCCCCCATTAAGTCCGAGCCATAAAGTAAGAGTGAGATGAGTTTTCCAAATTCATCATAGACTTTCCCTATGGCTTGATAGATTTTAAAATAATAATAATAATAATAATAATAATAATAATAATAATAATAATAATATGATAACCATGTTTGAAAGTTTTGAGGAAAACCTGAAAACAATATGTGATGTTAAGAGGGTGGTGTTCTATTGCCATGCAAAATTCCAAGTTCAAACACATTACTGTTCACGAGCTTCGAAAGAACAAATTCAGCCATGAATATTGATCGGACACTAACCAATGATGATTTTGTTTTTTCATACCTCATTAGTGAAAAATTGTTCAGGGCTCAGAATTTCACATGCTAATAGAACATCATACTTTTAAAATCTCATTTTTTTTATTTCTTATGAAACTTCTTTTCTGAAACTTTAAAACGTTATTTCACGTGGTTTTCATTGGTTTCCGGCGAAACTTGGTTTCCATGTGATATTCTCTCCGGCATCCACATCGCCGTCCAAGTCTCCATCGTTATGAAATTTGTCAGCCGGCTCCAACCAACCGCCGGTCTCTGTGAAGGGGTGGAATTCTAATCGACTCGTTACAGGTCATTACGATAACGCGTCAGCTCGGCTTGACTCGTTAACATAACGAGTTCACAGTCAAACTCGGCTTGACTCATGTAACTCGAGAGCTAGCTCGTTTAACTCGTTATAGGCGTCAATAGCAATATTTATATTATGTATGCAATTAATCTACGAAAACATATTTACACACACACACATTTCTTCACATATCACAACAATCAGAAATTTACACTAAAAGAATACTTGGTAAACTAAGTGACAAGAATATATAACAATATTGGTACTTATCTCACGTCCCTTATGATTAATGAGCTTAATGAGCTAAATGAGTAACTCGTTAGCTTGGCTCATTAAACTCGTTTTGTTAACGAGCTCATATTAAAACTCGGCTCCACTCGTTAGTCACCAAAACTGAGTCGAGCCCGGTCACGAGCTACTCCTTTAGCTTGTGATTTTTGAGTTAAAATTCCCACCAAGGAAGAACCACACCATGTTCAATAAGAAGAAAAACCGTACAACATAGGGGCAACTCCAACGGGGATCATCAAACCATCTTAAATATTTGGAACATTATTTTGCCATCCAACATGGTACCTCAAACGTCCGTGGACACGTTCGAGTGTTCAAAATCTTACAAACCGGTCACCAACTCGTGAAAGGTTTGCGGGAGTCCAAACCTCCGCCACGTAGGCCTCTGACACCCCGTCGTGTGTGGATACGGACTCGAGTATGCTTGAACTTGGGATCAATGAATTTGAATAATTTGTTGAACATCCGACCATATCAAATATAATATTTATATTGAAACTATTTTACTTTACTAGGCCGCTAGCGGTCAAGCCGAAATGTCATTCCCTTGAAGAAAATTGTAAACAAAAAATTAAATACCAATACAGCCCCAATGTATGTGTTTGTGGGCTGCTAAGTTGGCTGCCCAATCAGCTCTGACTCAGTCAAAACCAGTTGACCGGCCAAAAACCGTGTCGAGGGTTGCCTTTTGAACTATGTGGTAAGTTCAGGGTGCAATGTGACTGATTTCAATGATGAGGGTTGTAAATCAAACCTATTAGTTAATGTTCATGACATGTTAAATGTGTGGTTGAAGGATTTTAGTAAGAATAATAAAGATCTGGCGGTTGTTGGTATTGCAGCTATATTTTGGACGAAGGGAAAACTATGAAACAAGGATATCTTTTATAACAACCAGGTTGATAATCAAAATGCTTCGTGACTGGTTTATTTTGCAGATAAGAACGCGAAACATGGGTCGTAAAAAGGGCTGAGGTGATTGCTGGAGAAATTTTCAGGCCTGCTCTTGGATGGAAAGCGACTTGTAGGATTGATGCATGATGATAGGAGGACCTCTTCTCTAGGTTCAAGCTCTTCTAGACCTCTTTAGCTCGATCTCCTTTGCCCCCTTGATGGTCGCTTTTGGTTAAGCTTTACTTCCATCCAAAACTTAAATGTGGTTTGTCACCTTTATTAACATCTCCTGGAAATCCGACACGTGGCTTCCCGAGGATGATGGTAGAGTTTGAATTGTTTGTGTTTATCTGGGTTATCGGCGCCTACGCTGATATAGACCTTTTGTGGTTCTAATAGGCAGCTAGGGATAGCCCAGTTTGTTCTGTCTTGATCATGCATCATCCTTTTCCTTTCTATGTCGCTGGTAGTTGTAAGAAGAAAATGTGGTTTCTCATAATAGAAATAGGAGAGGAAGCTCTCTTTATCAAAAAAAACGACCATTTTTTTAACATGGTATATAGACGCATGAGTTTATATATACGCGTATACACTCATCCCTATGAACACACACACACCTTGCCCCTATGAGCACCTTCGAGAGACCGAGTCGACATATCATCTTGAGATTGACGAAGTCACCAAAGACGACTCATAGTTGACGGGAACGTCTCCTCACACTGAGCGCGCATCGCCGGAATAAAATAAATTCAGAAATAAATATGAGCACCATGACCTGAACCCTGATGGGCTGGAGATACCACTGTCTTCTGTTCATCCAACTACATGTTGGTTCGCAAAAACAACGACCATTGTATACAGAGAACTAAACATGATCATTCTCTGCGCGAGGTCGGGTTCAGGCCGGGCATGGCAAAACCCGAAGAAAAATTTCCAAGCCCGAAGCACATTAACAACAACAATTTTTTAATTAAATTAATCATATTCAGGATATTATATTAACTTATTATACCTATATTTTGAATGAAATATACATGTATGGCTGTTTCGGGATTTTGGGGCTTTCATGGCGGGCTTCAGGCGAGAAAGTGAAGCCAGGCCCGAATGTCGGGCTTCGGGTTTGGGCCTCTGGACCAGGTTGTCCATGAATAGGTTTACCGAGTACTCAAGAATCAGGTTGCTAATCTGCCACCTTCTGAAGATAGGTTGCTAATCAGGTTGGCAAATAATAGTTTTTTGCAACCTCTCTTTTCAGTTCAGTTGAATGAATTTTATCTTCTTATAATAATCTTCATGGTCGGCCAGAGGAAAAATAATCCTATTCCCACATAACAGAATCTCTCCTTTCTTTCACATAATTTCACAGAATCTCTCCTTTTGCCCCAATTTTTGTAGTTTTTTCCAACCTCTCTTTTCTGTTTAGTTGAATGAATTTTACCTTCTTATAATAATCTTCACGGTCGGCCGGAGGAAAATAATAGTTTTTTGCAACCTCTCTTTTCAGTTCAGTTGAATGAATTTTATCTTCTTATAATAATCTTCATGGTCGGCCAGAGGAAAAATAATCCTATTCCCACAGAACAAAATCTCTCCTTTCTTTCACATAATTTCACATAATCTCTCCTTTTGCCCTAATTTTTGTAGTTTTTTCCAACCTCTCTTTTCTGTTTAGTTGAATGAATTTTATCTTCTTATAATAATCTTCACGGTCGGCCAGAGGAAAATAATAGTTTTTTGCAACCTCTCTTTTCAGTTCAGTTGAATGAATTTTATCTTCTTATAATAATCTTCATGGTCGGCTAGAGGAAAAATAATCCTATTCCCATAGAATCTCTCCTTTCTTTCACATATTTTTTCCTCGCACGCATTTCCTTAACTATGTCGTTTCTCGCTGAAGCCCTCTCTCCTTTCCTTGACATGGTTTTTTCCTCAAAGGCTTGCTGTTTTTTGAAATCCAATTTTATCTTCTTGTAATCTTCACAGTCGGCCCAAGGAAGATGGTGACAGAAACATATATGAAGAGATTCTGTATTAGAAAGTATAGCCTACTTTTTTTCCCCTAGGGTTTCTCTAGGGTCCAACCCTTCCTTCGACGGCGCCGCCGAAGTACACCAAATACCACGTAAACTACACTGATTGATGGCTAATTCCGGCGCGGATCTCATGCTGGGGAAGACAGGAGTTGAAGGCGGCAACTGCATGGACGACAGGCATGGTGTGCAGGGGAGCGACGGGCGAGAGCGGCCAGAAGTAGGGGAGTCTAGGGTTAGGGCGCCATCTGCGGACGGCGGGATGAATCTGGGGAGCAATATAAGGGTGGGGGATGATGATGCAAAGAAGAAGATCGGAGGAGGGGCTGTAGAAGGCCAGGAGGATGAGGAGGAGGCAAATTGGGGCGAGTACGGGCCAGAACAGGATTTGGAGGATGTGTTTGAGAACCTCAAGCTGCAAGGAGAAGAGGAGGAAGATCTAGACTTGTCAGGTGAATTTGCTGAGCTAGTTCAGGACGTGAGTTGGATGGCTCTGTTTA